AAAATCGCATAACAGCCGAGCATACACCCAGCAGCGCTGCTGATGCCTGAACGGTATGTGGAATGAAGTGGGCGGGCATCGGGAGGCCACTATGGCACGGGGCAAGCACTATGGGCAGTCTATCTGAAGTGTACCTGGCGTATAAGACGACCCCCCACTTGGAGGCATATTTTTCAGGGCCAAAAAATCGTCTTATACGCTGGCAAATACGGTAGTCTGTACTTATACAGAGTGTACGCATGTGCGCAAAAAGGTAACTTCTTGAGTTTCTTTTTCTAGACAAAAGAAAATGAAGAAGGCTAGAAGTATCAGATTTAATAATATGGTAGATGTGTATAAAGAATTTCCAATGCCATTGGTTGATAAAGAAGACAGTGATGTGATTGAACCAGTAACGGATAAAGAAGACAACAATGTGACTGAACCAGAAATGGATGAAGAAGAGGAAGAGAGCAATGTGACTGAGCCAGAAATGGATGAAGAAGAGGAAGAGAGCAATGTGAGTGAACCAGAAATGGATGAAGAAGAGAGCATTGTGAGTGAATCAGCAATGGATGAAGAAGAGAGCGACGTGACTGAACCAGAAACAGAAATAGAGAGCAATGTGATTGAACCAGAAATGGATACAGAGAGCAATGTAACTGAACCAGCAATTTATACAGACTTCAGTGTGATTGAATCAGCAATTTATGCAGACTTCAATGTGACTGAATCAGCAATTTATACAGACTTCAATGTGACTGAATCAGCAATTTACACAGACTTCAATGTGACTGAATCAGCAATTTATACAGACAGCAGTATGACTGAATCAGCAATATATACAGCAGATAGCTATGTGAGTGAACCAGCAAGGGATACATCTAGCTATGTGACTAAACCAGCAGCAACAGTTAGAGAGAGAAATGCATCAACAGTAGTAGTTATAGACAGCAGAGCGACTGACCCAGTAAAAACAGAAGAGGACGATCTGAATGACATGGCACTAGATACAACTGAGAATGTCATCGATGATGCTATTAATGCTGTGGAAGGTAGTGATCTCGTTTGGATGCCTAAAGGACTGTCTTGTTATATAATGTCACACTACCAGACAACTAACAAATTCACATCTTTTTTTTTTTTTTTTTGCAGAAGATGATGAATACACCATCAAAAACATCAAGTGGCTCACACATGGTGAATTCACACCAGAAAGGTGCCGTAAACAAATCCAAGACTTCGTTATGGTAAGTTAGTTGACCATTCCAGCTTGGTGTACAAGGGTGAAGAACAACCCTGACTGGTTTGGCTCGGTGGATAGAGCATCAGCCTGCGGACTGAAGGGTCCCAGGTTCGATTCTGGTCAAGGGCATGTACCTTGGTTGCGGGCACATCCCCAGTAGGGGGTGTGTAAGAGGAAGCTGATTGCTGTTTCTCTCTCATTGATGTTTCTGACTCTCTATCCCTCTCCCTTCCTTTCTGTAAAAAAATCAATAAAATATATTTTTTAAAAAGGCGAAGAACAATAAAAAGGCTCTTCCTTTTTTAAAAAAAATATTTTTATTGATTTTTTTTTAGAGAGAGAGAGTGAGAGAGATAGAAGCATTGATGAGAGAGAAACATCTATTGATAGGCTGCCTCCTGCATGCCCCCCGCTGGGGGACAAGCCAGCAACCTGGGCATGTGTTCTGATCGGGAATCAAAACTGAAAAAAGGCTCTTCTTTGATGAAAAGTTTAAAGTCCAGAATCCCTAGGAGATGATATAAAAGGTAACTAAATGTCCTCATCTGGATCCCAAAATCAACATGTGATAGTCTTTGAAGGCGAACCCTAATCTTAAATTTTCCTAGTAAAATCTGATATTCCCAATTAAGCAATTTTCCCATCTGGTACTCTAAATGGGGGCCTACTGGCCTAAGGAGGGAGTTGCTTCTCTCAAACAAGAGTTCTCCAACACCAACTTTATTAAAAAGTGGAAGGGGGAGGGGAGAGAGAGAGAGAGAGAGAGAGAGAGAGAGAGAGAGACAATGTGAGAGAGACACATCAATTGGTTGCCTCTCTCACATGCCCCGATTCTGTCTGGGGGTTGGGAGAGGGTTAAACCTGCAACCCAGGTATGTGCCCTTGACCGCACTTGATTGGGAATTCAAACCTGCAACCCTTTGGTACATGGGCCAATACTCTAACCACTGAGAAACACTGGCCAGGGCTCCAACACCACCTTTAGAATGCTTATATTAATAGAGGGGATGCATACGGATCAAAAGTCTTTTTACTGTACCTTTGGAACATATTGTCTGCACGCTCAGATGCACAGGCCCGTGGATTCCTTTTTCTTTTTCTCTTTTGCCTGGCTCTGACCCATTCATGTGGCTTAACCTGGCAGCTCTAGTGAAAAGGCCCTGGGTTGCTTTGCATAACAGGCGGGTGGATAAAGAAGGACCTGAAATCCTTACTCACTGTATTTCCTCGGAAAAGAGACCCATTGAAATTGGTTGAGGCAAAACTCCCAGTCCTGGGAGAAGTTTCTTGCTGTCTCTCTCTTCCTCTCTTCCTAAGCCCTAGACAGCCCTGGTCAGGTGAGAATGAGAAAAGGTCAGGGATTTCTGGCTCCACACTTTTTGTTTATATGCCAGTTGGCACAAATCACTATTCCCATTAGAAGGGGTATCTAGAGCATAGTGAAGATGAATGATGCAAAATGCTGGTTACCCTTGGGCCTTCTTGCTCTGAAGCATATCTCTATTTGGGGTTAGTCAAAGGTCTCTGCCTGCTATACCTAAGGTTTGTGAATCAGACTGGAATGGGAAACAAAACAAGCAAGAAAAATTTCCCCTACAAATCTCACGGGTTATTCTGAATAAAAGGCAAGAGTAAGTCCTGAGAATGGCCTACAGGGCCTAACATGATCTGACTTCTTTCCTCCCTCCCAACTTATTGCTTAGACTCCATCACCTACTACCTTCTTCCTTTTTACCTTCCTTACTCCAGCCACACTTGCTGTTCAACTGCCAAGCATGTCCCCACCTCAGAGCCTCTGCACTTGCTGTTCCCTCTGTCTGGAATAGTCTCCCCTGAGAGCTATTCTCAGGTATCATGCCTTACCTCTCTTCAGATCTTTGTTAAGATTCCATTTGCTCATTGAGGCCTTTCCTAGACACCTCATCTAAAACGATACCTACTCTCCTTCTCTGATTTATTTTTTCTTTAGTACTTAGCTCTATTTAAGATATTAGATTTTACTTATTTACCCTTTGATTTTCTTCCACCACCAGATCATATGGTCCATGAGAGCAGCGACTTCTGTTAATGTTCCCAGCCCCTAGAAATGTCAGGCACATATAGTTGCTCTAGAAATAAGTGTTAATTACATGAACAAGTTTATTCTTTCTATACCATCATTTTTTCACAGATGACGAGCTTATCTACTTTGTAGGGCTGTTGTGCAGATAGAGACAATTAGAAAGTAGAAAGTGACTGAAAGCTAAAAGCTCTATATAACTCATGACATCAACTCACCCTGTTCCCAGCCCCACTAATGCAGCAAGCCCTAGAAGTGAAGTCTACTATCTAAGTGTCAGGCATTCGTGATGGAGAGCTTTCTCAAGCTTAGTTCAGATTTCTCAGAGTCCACCATACACCAGGGGATGGCAAATAAGGAATTACCATTTCCTGAGCATTGCTATGTGCCCAAGTACTGCTAAGCACTTCATGTGCATTATCTCATTTAATTCTCACAACAAACCTGAATGCAAGTACATCAATGTACCCATCTCTATGTATAATACCCTCACAGTAACGACCCGCTGGGCGGGTGGGCGTGGCTGCGTGCCCCGCGAGGCCGGGGGACGTGAGGCTGCGTGCAGTAAAATAAAATGCGTTCACTTGCCCTAAAGCACACACTTCCCAGCAGATAACTCAGTGCAGGTTATTGTGTAATCACAAAGATTACACAATATTGATCACACACACTTATTGTCACGGAAAAAAATAACATCTTCACCTGAAGATGCCCCGTCAGGCTGCGGAAGCTTCATCTGTCCTTGCGACCCCGAAGACAACAAGGGTCAGGAAGGAAGGGCTCCAGTTTCGTTTTCTCAGCTCCCAGCTAGAGGCCTCCCTGGGCGGCTCTCCCCTCCCAGCCCCGCGCAGGACGGGCGCTCTCCGGCCCGGGGGAGGCGGAGCGAAGTGCTTCCCTCCAGACCCTGCTACCCCTGGGAGTCCGGCGGGGGGTAGGGGTGGGGGCGC